TAGCAAAATTGAACGTAAATCGGCTAAAATCGATTCTATATAACGATAAGATCATATCTCTATCTTCTAACGTTAAGGACTTAGGATTATACCTGGATAGTAGCCTGAAATGGAACCCTCAAATAACGCAGGTCTGTCGGAAGGTTACTGCTACGCTGCGATCTCTCTACAGATTCAAAAATTTTCTTCCTCCTACTATAAAAACTCTGCTTGTCCGGTCCCTTGTGCTTCCTGTAATTGATTATGCTGATGTTTGTTACTCTGATCTATCCCAAGACCTTCTTAACAAGTTGGATCGTATGCTTAATAACTGCATCCGCTTTATCTTCGGTCTTCGTAAGTACGACCACATCTCTTCCTTTCGCGCTCAGCTTGAATGGCTTTCTATTCGTGAGAGGAGATCTTTCAGATCCCTCTCCATGCTTTTTTCTATTTTAAACGACCCATATGCTCCCGGATATTTAAAATCATACTTTCGGGTTCTTGGCAATTCTCACAGCCGAAGTCTACGTGCATCTGAAAACCTGCTTCTAGAGATCCCTTCCCACCGTACTTGCTTCATTTCAAATTCTTTCGCGGTTGGTGCAATTAAGCTATGGAATAAGCTACCTCCCGAAATTAAAAAGGCTCCAAACAAAATTACTTTTAAGCGTGAGGTTTATAAACTTTATTTAAATCGTTGCAATGCTGATATCTAAGGTTTTTCGTCAATATGTTTTATTTGTTTATATACATTTATACAGTAGGCATATATATACATATCTAATTGTTCGTAATATGCAACATTCTATATACATATACAGTATGTATTATCTTATCATTTTTAGATTGTATCTATATAGTATTGTCTTTTAATATTTTTATTCTATTAAATTCGTATAAACATATTTCTCGTACCTATTATTCGCAGATTTTCCATTTGACCCAAAGGTTGACTGGTAGAGAATGCCGTATGGCATTAAGTCCGCCTTTTGTACCAACTTCATTTAATTGTGTACAATAAAGCATAAATAAATAAATAAATAAATAACATGTGCCTGCCAGTCGGCAATAATGCCTAAATTAATGTTATTTAAATTGTATCCAAGAAGACGTCTATTCAGTAAACTGGAATGATTGAAATGGTGCATAATAAGCTCGACTTCATGCGAACCGTGCTGCAGTTAGTTGACGATGCTTAGCATATGCGTTTTCTGGAACCATTACCTTAGTTTCTGGAGAGATTTTAGCTACCTTTATGAGCATATGTTTCCTTCTAAAATCACTCATTGTTAATAAAAAGTAATCAACACGTACACGACGTATATACGCGAGTGTTATTTCCGTTTATCCACGTCGATGCTAGGACAACACTAACACGAGTCACGGAGCGCCCGCGCCGCCCTCCCTTCCTCTCTTGCGTCTACGAGGCCTATGATTCCACGAGTATCGACATATCTCGTAACGCAAGAAATAAAAATAATTATAGTACTGTGCGTTAGGGATCTAATCCATCTCTAATTTATTTTTTAATGTCTTTAAATTCAGTTTTAAGTAGAACGCAAATATGTATATGTGTCTTACTCATACATAAAGAACTTTACAAGTTAGATCCTCCCGCAAGGAGTGAAACAACACGATTTTATTCAACGCACAATAGAAAAGTTCTGCAAGAGATCTAAAAGATCTCGTAATGCAGCGAACGTGTTAAGAAGCCGATATTTTAACAAGCATATTACGGGAACGTCTTCATTATGTTTCAAATGAGGAATCTGACTAGCTCACCCATAACTTATTTATGTTCAATCTTGTAAAGTGTAAGTGCTTAGTATATTCCGTCTTGTCATAAACTAGCCGACTGCTCGCGAGTACGTAATCGTAGTTCCTAGAACCAACTTAAATAGTTAAGAATGCCGCCATCGGCTGGGCAAGGCTCAAGATAATGCTATTACGGGAAGCGAGGGGTTCGATCGGAGGAGGCGGATGCATCCTAATCGATTAACAGAATACGCCAACGCAGGATCGACGCATGTTGAGGTGTAAAAGTGTGATGTCAAATTACATCGAGCAGCGTGATTCATTACCTTCGTCACAAATTAAAATATTTATCTCAGATTATTTTAATCGGTTTCACACGAGCTATTTAAGAACGGGCAGCGGGCTTGAAAAACCGGACGTGTGAACATTTAGCCTGTTGCTTGTTCCTCGCGCTAATTATAAAGTCGTCAGGTTTTACGTGTGTACGCAAAACGCGGCTATTATTATAATTGTTACGTGCTTAGGTCGAAGTGCTTAGGGTGAAGAAGAGCTATGGAATGTTCCTGCTTGTAAATGTGAGTAGAGCGATGGGTAATCATTACGCCTAATAAAAGTGTAGAGGCGGCAACTTGTTAACTCGCGACCACTCGAACTGCTCGTAAAATATTACTGAAATTGGACTTAATGTTATCGACTTCCGAGGCTTCTCTATATTAGAGTCGTCTGTACTTACCGACCTAAAATATTAGTTTCCAATTCATGAAACCAGTCGTTGCTTTCTAACCGAGTTCTTATTGAAAACGGACGTTCTGATTTCACTTTAAGTGGAATATTATAAACATTCATAGCTTGCCTAGTTTTGTGTACGCTTATTCCCTTTTAACAATGCAATATGCTGTACATTAAGCATATAAATACGTATTTACGATTACGTAGACGGAAAATAGCTTTCTTTGTGCTGACGAGAAGATGATAATATTAAAACGATTTAAATAAACCTACTTTTATTATTTAAAACTTTTCTAGTACAAGATTATAATTTTTGCTTGTAGATCAAATTTATAAAGGGCATGCTTCATTCTATTGTTTTTAAGCATGTCAAAAAAACTACTATCCTATATATCGATGTTCGAAAGTAACCTAGTTATTGTTGTTCTATAAACATGAAAATTTTCTCTTAAGTACAGACTGGACGCTCGAAGTTATTGATGAGCTGCGTAAACAAAGATGTTCCTTTAATGATACCAATTTAGAAGCTGAGAAAAATCATCCTAGTTTAGTAGCTTTCTGACACCGTAATTGTGTTTTAAGTAGCTGCAGTACGCATTTCATTGAACCATACTAATTATAATAGTATAATGTGTAACTGGCGGGCTAGGTTTATATTATCTTTAAATTTTTATGGTACTTTAACTGTAAATCAGCTTTAAGTTATCTTAATCCTTAACACAGTCTGACGCATATATTTTTCCCTAAGTATATTACCTACTCTTTTTTATATTGTATAACCATTTTTTTTGTTTTATGTTTATATACATGTTTTATTTTGTGTCTGATATGCGTCCTACAGGCGAATAAATACTTTTTCTTTCTTTTCATTTGTAAAATTCTTAAATGTTCCTTATTTATTTACTCTTAAGGAATGTTGTTTACGCTTTGGTGGTTTAACTTCGCTTTTTTTTAACACACCTTGCTTTGCATATCCAACTACTTTTTTAATGACAAAAGAGTCGCTATTTCACAATTTTCCCTCTATCCATTTCATAAGGATCCTCTCATGAGAATAAGAAACAAAACACAAATAGAGTCGGTAAAAGTGGTCCAGAAGTTTTTGAGCTATGCGCTTACTTAGGAACATATTTTGCGGTTCATCACTACCTACTTACATAGTATAAATAAAACAAAGTCTCTTTCTCAGTCCCTATTATCCTATGTATATCTTTAAAATTGGTCATTTTGATGCAGTTTTTAATAGATAGAGTGATTAAAGAGGAACGTTTATATGTATAATTACTTTCATTAACTAGCGGAGACGTTTAGTAGGTATCAGCATTGTACCCTAGCGAAATGGAGGTCGCTAGTTTTTATATAAATGTAGATGTTTAAGTAGAATCAACTATTAACTATAGACCATACTATGCGCACCGATGTGAATTTCCTACCACATAATTTACACTTATATACATATACTAATATTATAAAGACGTAAAATTTGTAAGTTTGTATGTAGGGGGTAATCTTTGGAACCGCTGGTCGGACTGCCAAAATTCTTTCACTAATAGATAGGTCCAATGTTCCTGAATGCTATACGCTATAAATCACTTAGTTACGATAAAATGGAGCCGAGCAGCGGGTGAAACCGCGCGAGAGTAGCTAGTTTTTCATAAACGTATATGTCCTTTTCCTTTTAATTTACACAGGTACAGAATGATATATTTTTTCTTCTGTCAAGGATACACAGTATGGCGGTGGTCCATGCTGTACACTGGACAATCTGGACATTTATCTCCTTAAGATATCTACATGACTCTTGACTTCCTGTATGAAACGTTATTTCTAAGTACGTGGTCAGTTTACGACGTCTCCTAGTATGTTGAACTGGGGTCTAAACCAGTTGCATTGTGTTATTAGGTGGCAGGAAATATTGTGACCTATGTGTTAGGATTTATGTGAAAATTACAATAGCACGTGCAACGTTTAGTTGCTTTGCAGATATAGAAATGCATATTCTGTGTAAAGAAGTGTTTATTTTGTGGATAGATTGAAATGTCTCTGTCAATTTGATTTTAATGGGGCATGTACACGAGTTTGAAATCGCCAACCCGCATTGAGCAAGCGTGGTGATGCTCTAACCTTCTCCGTATGAGAAGAGGCCTTTGCTCAGCAGTAAGCACTTATGGGCTGATGATGATGTACACGACCTTTTCTGGTCCAAATCGAAGTTATTCTGTGTATCTATAAGTACTTTGATGTTTCAGTTAGTAATATTATGTATTCGTTGAAGCAGAACAAATATTTTGAGTAAATTTTTTATTTATAAAAATATCGATAAAACTGCATGTTACGCAAAAACACAGCTATTAAATCATCAATCCTCAAGCCAACGCCGGGGCGTTAGCACACCTATTGGTCTTCTATTGTGTCTCGAATAACAACGATTGAAAGTTTTAGAATCCAAAAAAATAGGTTCATTTCAGCCTAATAAGTCTTATACTTATAGAACATTCTGCTGAACTTACCTTAACATTCTTTTTTTCCCACAGGGGTTCAGTCTTCAGTGCTCTCTCATCAGCGCACTGGGCGCTCAGTCAACTGGACGCGGCCATCAACTACATGCAGCAGGACCTGGCAGTGGCCAAGTCTCTGGGAGACACTGCAGGAGAATGCAGAGCACACGGCAACCTTGGGGCTGCGTACTTCAGTCAGGGCTCCTATAAGGACGCCTTGACGGCACATCGATACCAGTTAGTGTTGGCAATGAAGTGCAAAGTAAGTACCACTGATCTACCAGTAACACAGTCTTGTAGGTAGATAGAAATGGTCTTAGCCAGATGTCTTACTGGATGTCTTTAAACATGTTCAAAGCTTCGTCGTGTGAGTGAGGTTACCAGAGGCCAAATCCTTCGCCTCATCCAATCCCTAGTCTCCAGAAGGTCGGCAACGCTCTCCTAACTCCTCTGGTTTCGATGGTGTCCATAGTTGGAAACGATTGCTTACCATCTGGAAATCCATCTACTCATTTGCCGAAAGCTGCAGTCGGAATCCATCTTCGAATGATATTGAGGATAAACAACTAAGTAATATCAATAAACTCCGTGACAAGAATCAACAAAGCTATCCATAATCATGAATGTAAAGTCTAAATAATTTGCAATTGTCTACATCCACTAGGACAAAAAGACCAAACTGATAGAGATATCATGACAATGTTATTTCCGTGTCATTGTTATAGGAATAACACGAACAGTGATCGTGGTATATCAATTTAAAACTATATTATTTATTGAATAAACAATGCTAAGGTCTGCTCTATTAATGTCTGCGAATAAATCAAGCGCTTTATGCTTATGCCTGCCAGCCTAGTCCAGCATAACTGATCTTGTCCCACAAATTATGTCATTACATAAGAATAGGGCTGCTACTCGAAAGACAATTCATACAATAACGCTGCATTCATGCGCACGCGCAGCCCGTCAGCCTGAACTCACGCAAATGTAGGTACTATAACAAATCGCTCAATACGAACGGCAGAGGGCGCTCTGTGTTCCCAAGCGCTCACCAATATACGTGCAACGTTCACAATGGAATATTTACATAAAGAATGGTAGTAAACCGTTTGATTTCTCCTTTTACAAATGAAATAACAAATGTTCTCGACTTCTCAGCCGCAATAATAACTTGCGCGGTTTACGCGGGCTGTAGTTGTAAAAAGTTAATTTAATTTTTACTATGCACTCCGCTCCAGCATGGTGACGGTTTATTATTTATAGCTCCGTGCCTTTGTTAGCGCTCTCATCTTTGCTTAAATTAAAGTGTTAACTCGAGAAAATCTTCATAAGTATCGTCTCTAGTCATAATGATATTTTAGACGAAATATGAAACACATAATTATAAAAAAACAGCCAAAAAATTTTGAATATTTGAATAGACAAAAGTGTTATCTTACTTAGTAGGTAATTATTAAAATAAATTAGAACAACATTTCGAGTTTAAAAAAATAGATCTAATTTGTCTAAATGCTTTATAGGTAGCTATTAATACCAGTGACATAAATAACATGTTAATTAAAGCCTCGCCTGTCTGTTCTGAAGCAGCACATAAATTATAAAAAAGCACCAAGTGATATGTCATGGCATGGCGGCGTAATCGTTTTATAAACTGCTTATAGTGCAAAGTATAGGCGGTGTAGGCTGAGAGCGTACCGTACGAATCACTTTCGTTGCTCGCAGTTAAGACGAAGCAACCGTATTACACTTTTAAAGGAACCCTACAAATAGTAAAGTTTCGTTTTTATTGATGCCTTTGATGGTCGCCGCGAGCCGCACACGTAGCGATGCTAATTTGCAGTAAACAGCCTGACGTGTGCTGGCGACAAAGACGCGGCTCGACGGCTGCAGTGACACTTATATTCCACTACGATTAATCCAATGTTCTTGGAACATTGTACGATGAAATTGTGGTCCACTGGATAGCGTGATAGTGGACGCATACATTAAGCTTCTAGAGAGGTAATTTTTCTCGACTGGACTTAATTTCAGCTTACAGAAAGTGTCGACCTCACACGAGATAATAGCAAATTGAATTCGTTATTAGCTTATATATCAGAGGCTAGCATACTTACACTTTCTGTCTTCTACATAACCACTGTGTAGTACCATATTGAACTATACATATGGAAATTTCATTGACTAATTACTTCCGTACGTTAAAATTCAAAGACGTTAAACAATTAACATTGCAGACCAGACATATCTTATTTCAGCTCAAGTTTTATTATTCCTGTGTAAAAACGCTTTAGTTTGAAATACAATGCGTGACTAAGCTCTAGAAACTTGTTTTAGTTCACAAGTATCGTTTCAACACAACCGTAAAACAAAACTAATAAGCGTTTTCCTCTTTTCTTCGCCGCAGCGATAATAATTCTCCGTTTTACACATTTTGTGCAAAAACTTACTGAACTTTAATTACTTCGGCTTTAAAAACAGGGCCACTCCTAGGGCGGTGCGAGCGGTAGGACCGAAACAGACGCCATCATGATAGGGGCGTCAATATTAACTGTGCGTCAGACGAAGGAGGTTTTGATTTGAATGGGCGCCATTTTTATTTCTTGCCGCCTAAAAGTGTTAATAGTACTAGAACTGCCCATACAATACGTTAATATCCTTTCCATAATTATTGTTTGTTATTTCTCTTATTCTCATTTTAAAAGCATGCAATCATTGTGTCCACTTGTGAAACAATCTGACGAACAAATAGTCGTAAAAAATATTTACATTGCCCGTTCTGCTCAAATGCTACACAAGAAAAACTCGCAAGTCGATTTAAAATAACCGCAAAATACTGGCAACACAGGAATTCACTCGCGAGTAATCCGAGAATGGGCGAATAATAATTACATGACAAAGTGAAGTCGACGCAGCCTCGCCGCGATCACAATCAAAAGAATTATCGTGTGAGCATGCTTTAAATGATTGCGAGGACTGTACCTACCGACAGCGCCCTGCTATGCACAACGTTCAATTTTATTTTATTTATGACCAAATTGTTTTACCATGTAATGTGTAGTAAGTACTCATTATCTTCATTCAAGACATGACAGGTCCACAGGTAATTACCTCAATAATTTTAATTATATTGGACTGATAACTCGTTTTGATCCAAAGTTTCTAAGAAAAATCCGATTTGAAAAGACGGATGTCACTCGACAGTCCGGCTTGACCGGCGTTATCGAACTAGTCAGCAGGTATCTAACAGTTGCGTCAATTATTGAGAAGTACAATCGACAACAGCGATAAGTTGTGGAGTACAACACTACGAATTTTATTTTAGACCACATTTTTACCACACATACTCCGTTCTACTGAAATGCGAGAATCGTCGCAAGCTACCAACGTATCGCGAGGCTGAAAAAAAATACAAAACATTAAAGCTATCTTTTAAAAACTATTAGGCCAGTTTAAAATAGAGCTCGGTCAGGTTTTATTTCACATAGATTACAGGCGGCTTACACACGATGTTTCACAGTGCCATACGTATACCGCGAATAATTTGACAGTAACATGTGAGGTGGACTAGCCGGCTTCATTAGCGGATGCCGTGGATAACCCGTCGCAGGCAGGTGCTATCTCGCGGCTATGCGTTCCAATTGCTCGGTCAAACGTTTAACGTTTTTAATTAATTGTTATTAAAGGCTGATTGTGGCTGCGATGAGCTGAGGGCTGAGTATTCCGAAAATGTGCGCGAGATAGTGGAATGGCTGCATGGGTTGAATAGTTTCAAGTTTTAAATACAAAAACTTGGACTAATCTTTTATTGATAATTTATTTGATAACGCAATGTTTGGTTCGTGAGCTCTTATCGATATTACGAAGAACATGCCTTCTGTTATCTGCTCTAAAGTTGTTTCAGACATACAAAGCTTTATCAGGGAGACAGGAGAATATTGTAATTGCATAGTAAAACATAATAACACATTTTAAATAAATGTTTGTGTTTTTTATGTTGTTGTAAGCATACAGATCGAGGGACACAGGTAAAACAACGCGCACAATTCTAATGCATCGTGTACAAGTCGCAGAAAGGAACTGGACACAGAATTTATATGCGATGACTTAGCAATGTATCAGGGCAGCAATCTTTACAACCATTATTGCTTCGAACTAAACCAACTTACCTTGTAAATGATACAAATAAATGCAGATTCTTTGCATGTTTTATAAGGACTTAATAAAAATAACATTAAAACTACACGATGGTCCATAAAGAGAGAGGTTATTTAATACTTAATATGATTTTACGAGCATGTTTTCGTGTTAAAGCATTTATCGATGTAGTATTTAAAAAGAAATATTAACAAAAGGTCGTACTTTACTGATTTATTCGACATAAATGTGATTGCGTGCAAGTTTTAGTGAACTCAAGACTGTTGGTCGCGATTGTATGTCGAGAATTCATTGGAAAGAGAAACACCCAATAATGCGTGATGTATTGTACGCATCACCCTGTATGTAAAGATAAAACATGCCATTTGAGAGTTTTTTAAGCCTACATTGTGTTATGAATATTCATTAAGGTCTAAATTCTTTAGCGCCGAAGGTGATTACGAATTTTTAAATAGTATTTATCGATGTGAAGACGATAAGTTTTACATAATGCGCTAGTTTCCAAGAGATATAAAACAGGAATCTTGTCAATCTAACATGCCGCTTGCTTTCAAACAACTTGTAGGCTCCGGCTCATATACTGTGTTATAAAACTTTTCCAGAAAAAAATAATAAATTCAAGGTTGAAATTATGTAAATAATTCTGGTTTATAAACCTTATTTTGGTACTAACTACTTCCAATGTACCTAAATATAACCAAATAGCACGTAATCTCGTGTATGATCCTCGAATTTGAGGAATACCAATTGTAGGTACCTAATATTTGAAGGATTTGTTTTGCGGTCTAACAAATATTAAGTATACCCTTTATATGAATATTAGTGTGGGAGAGCCATGCTTCAGCAAGAAAGGGTCAGCTCGACCGGAGTGATACCACGGCCTCGCAGAAGACCGGCGTGAAACAACCACAGCGTTGTGTTTCGCCGAGTGAGTGAGGTTACCGGAACCCCAATCCTTCCCCGTCCCCAATCCCTCCTCAATCCCTAATCCTTAAAAGGTCGGCAACTCACTCATAGGTCCTCCGTTGCGGGTGTCCATGGGCGGCTGATTTCTTACTATCAGGTAATCCGTCTGCTCGTTTGCCGACCTATAACATAAAAAAAAATACCCAAATGCATTGAGCATTTTAAGGCAAAATATCTTGTCATAGTCATCGAAACGTCAATGGGTTAATGAAATAAAGTTTTATTCCTTAATCAAAAGGAATAGGCTATTTTTTCCTTATTAGCTACATTATTATGAAATCCTTAATTATAAAAGGTACCCATTTTATTTCAGTCTTTTATATTTCAAAATTAAACTCGTTTCTTTTAGGAGTTGATTTGATTATGAGACTAATATCCAATCAATATCAATACAACAAATACAGTATCTACCTATATAAGTATTAAATATCAAAATGAAACATTTTCTTTGTTCCCTAGTAACAATAAGTGCAATAAAACAAGTGTCGACAAGTTGCCAGTGCCTGTATTCTTGCGGTCCTTTATCATACGCGGACTGATACAAATTGTGTGGGATAACTCTGCGATAGCAGACCCACAGACGCACAGCTGTTTTTATCCCTTAATTAATACAAGAACAAGAATTATTTCTGTTTATCTCAAAGAAAAAGTAATAAAACTTACAAAACAAAATTCATAAACCTTGTTGCTAATTAGATGAAAAAGTTACTTAAGAACGTGGAGTCGAGACTGTTAGCTATTCTACGGTTTAGTTTCATTCTTTCTGGCTCAGTTATTTCGAAGATTAGCGCTTGAACAGTTTCCGTTTTTACAAAACTGAAGATGTTACAAAGCTTTCGTCGGGTGATCGTCTATCTTACACCTCCATCCAACGTCACTAGTGGAATATATGAGTACAACACAATATTCTTTCTCCTTGTTTCAGAGATTGTTTTACATATAATCTTCAATCTCCATCCGTGCTTACAAGAAATAAATTATTGTCAACTTAGAAAACATACCTACATACCTAAATCATAGAGTTGGTTTTATTCATAGTTATTTTATGCAAATTCCAAACGATATAAACTTACTAAATTAAGTGTCAAATGCTCAATATCATTTATATAAATTTATCTCATGTAGGTACCTATGTACTTGCGTTTAATAACTAAAAGTCTTCATTAAAACTGACGTTGCGTAATTTATTCGATTACATACTACCTATGATACAATATTTCTTTCGTAGCTATGCTAATGATAATTATGCTTAACTCCTGTAATAAGGCAAGAAATTTACATGACATGGATACCTATATGAATGCATTATCATAAAGTTGGATTACAATAATGAAATTAATATTTGAAGCCCTAAAGTGTTGCCGTTACGTTACATAGTTTATTAACCTTACCACCGTCTCATTCGAAGGGTATATCTGCAAAGGCAACCATAAGATGCTCGTCTAGTCTAGATACAAAAACGTAGGCAACAACAATGTTCGCTGAAACACATAACAAGGCAAGTACCAGTCATGAATCACAGAGATATAAAGTGCGATACCTCTGCCGATTTATACGCATCATAGTTCACACAGGAATGTTTATTGTACCTACGTACGAATAATCCAAAGAAACAAGGCACACAAAAGAAAATAATAAAGCTTGATAAACGTACGTCTCATTCGAGTATTATTTATAAAAGCCTTTAGAGACGACAGTGACACAGACAGGCAGAGTGACACAGAGCCTGCACACATGAATAGAGTGCGTGGCAACAAGGCGCACGGCGTCTCGTTACTCGCCCTGTAGGAAAACGTCCAAACGAGATGGAGTCAGTATGTAAATCACCGCTTTATCGTATCATGTTGCAAATACTTAATTAGCTAGATTGTTGCGGGCCGTCCCACTTTATTCGCTAGTGTTGCGCGCCGTCGATGCACGCCAACGATAATACTATATCTTGCAATAATTTAACATCGTGTAGAAGTTTATTGCGAGGTATCAAAGCAGTATTCCTGAAGCTAAGAAAATTTTACTCTATAAAGCCAACGCGACTCCCGTTTTTCCTATTACGGTAATTCCTGTTTAAACGTTATTATCATTCATTCATAGATACCTGCGGTGCGGGTGAGCTTTCAATGTAAATATCTGCGGCGTACCAAAGTGTGAAATAACATAACTTCATTGTTATTGTTCCCGATAGCTTACTTATTTATATCGATACCGGACGTAGTACATCACTACTCAAAAACAAAGCCCCTATTGGCGGTCTCCGTCTGTCGTCGGACTTTATTTTATTTTTTTCTTCACTTCCTCAGTGAAAAGGATGCGATGCATTCTACGGGTCCTTTATTTGTTTTTAATCTTTTATTTCTGTTTGTGTCGCTTCGCGCATGCCTCGACTTATTATAAATTAAGTATACTAAACACCCATGACAGTGATACGCGTCACAAATATAGATTAGATTACGTCCTTACTTTAGAGAGAGCAAAGATTAATTAATGGACGTTTTTTTTTATTATTTCGCATTTGTAAATTTGAAATTAATTTCGTTCTTAAAAAAGTTTTATATATCGAACAGATTCGTACCTAAACGTATACAAGTTATTGTGTATTTTATGGAACGACATTAAGCACAGTTTATTTATATAGCTTGCTTCATAAAAAATATAACGAACTCATGATATATATCACATAATTTATTAAAAGAAACCTCAGTAAGCTTGAAGCTGTTATAATATTCATGGCGTTAAATAAGTTAGCAGCAACATAAGTTGCCGCTCGATGCGTGTAAATTAAGAAGGAACCATGTCCAGAGAGATGTAGATAGGAGCCGGCAATATATTGTGCGACGTATTGATAACATCAAGCATCAAGCTTCACGCGACACTACATTACAGTCGTTACATAATTACCACTAAACCACATAAATAAGCCGTTCATATGACGTGGAATGTCGCCGCATTTGCATTCGCGTGTTCCTGACTGCATTACATGTGAAAAATGAGATATAAAATCCGAACCCATAAAATTTGTACCCATTGAATTGAAACTATCACAAATATATGTTATACCATCTTAAACTAATAAAGCTGGACAGTCGGACGAACGCGGACGCATTCAATGTCCTCTCGAAATTTACGATATCGTACGGCGAACATTCGCTGTATGGGACCATAAAAAGTTATTGTAAGTGCTAGCACTTATATAAAAAGACTAGGGACGCGTATTGAAATGACGATCAAGACGTTACGTTGCTATGAGAGCAATGAATCGTCGGTGAGCGTCAGTAATGGGCTTTAAGTAATGGCTTTTTGTAACTTTATGTACTTTGACTATTGTAATTAATAAAGGGATATTAATGGCTACTGGTTCATCTTCCGTGCCTTTATACGTGTAAGTAATTAGTCAATACGCAGCATAAGTTTGATCACCTTTTTGTTATTCTCAGGACACACAAGCAGCAGCGGCAGCTTTAACGTCATTAGGTCACGTCTACACTGCAATAGGGGACTATCCCAACGCCCTAGCCAGCCACAAGCAATGTGTCCAGCTGGTAAAACAAATGGGAGACAGATTACAGGAAGCAAGAGAGATTGGAAACGTAGGAGCAGTGTACTTAGCCATGGGAGAGTTTGACTCCGCTGTTGATTGTCATACGCAGCATTTGAGACTGGCAAGAAGACTTGGAGATCAGGTAAGAACTTGTTTTCAGACATATTGGATTATTCTATAAACATAGAAGAACTCTTGATCTGATGACCTTATCTTTTTAGGTTGAAGAAGCAAGAGCATACTCCAACTTGGGATCCTCATACCACTACAGAAGAAACTTCTCACAAGCTATCGCCTACCACGAGAACGTGTTGAGGATAGCACAGAACCTCGGCGACAGAGCCATTGAAGCTAGGGCCTACGCTGGGTTGGGACATGCCGCGAGGTGAGCCCTTCATAACTTCTTAATGTTTACACTTGAAATATATTCACTTTAAGGACCATTGGCCAGGTTGCGAATGGAAGCGCAATAATGTACCCTGGTTCGGATCAGGCTAAGCAACGGAGTGGTTTTTAGTCATTAACAGTCTAACAGTCGCACTCGCCCTACCTAGGGTCGGAATACCAAAAAAACCTTTCATTAATAATAATATTGCTGTTCTTGTATGCGAATATCTATTGCGAATGCGAATTATTGGTCCCTAAAAGATTGGTAGATATAGTAGAACTCCTTAAAATAATATAAAATACATGTTTTTAAGATATTTCACCATTTAGTGACAATTACAATATTAACGTTTCCCGACAAATTTTGTTTTGTTGTAATCGTTGATCTTCACAAAAATTTTATCGTTTAAGGGCTGATTTTTCAGTGGTATGATGCTGTCGCGCGTCAGAATATTTGTATAAGACAGTGACAGCAATAATTTTATACCTCAGATAACAATTATCTGACTATTGAAAAATCACCCCTAACTTGAACATAAAAGACGTATTATGACTATAAATATTTGTACATGAATTCACAGATGCGCCGGCGATTACGCACAGGCTAAGAAATGGCATGAGAGACAATTGGACGTCGCTTTAGCGGCTAGAGACAAGGTACAGCACGTTTTTATTGATGTAACTGTTTGTATGCATAAACACGAGCACAGCGACACTTTTATATCTATTTTTGCATTATGATAATAAACTATAAAGGGCAAGGTCCTCACACCTGTCTGGAAATATTATTAGCTTCACCTACGCACTTATATGATATTACAACGGGTTCTGCTTGATTACCCAGGTAGTATGTTTGACTTATTATTTCCTGATGTGTAGGTTGGGGAAGGTCGAGCATGCTCGAACTTGGGCATCGTATACCAACTGTTGGGAGAACATGATGCAGCACTCAAGCTGCATCAAGCACATCTGTCGATAGCCAGACAGTTGCAGGTAAATTGAAGCACTATTTTCTTAACTCGTTCTATATCTCATGCTTAGACATATCTAATTTACATTTCTTGCGCTGTTTACGTAAATATCTGAAAATGGAATGTAACCATTGGAAAATAAAATGGTTGCATGGAACCATTTTCTATTATGAAGAAAATATTTATCAATGGCATGTCATCGGAGTTTCGCTGAACGACAGCTGCCAGCCGAGCATAAAATCACGCTATTGACGCTGATTGACTAAATTACTGAGACACGATCACAAGACAAAAGCGGAAAAAATATAATTTCCAATGCCCTCTCTCACTTTCGACTTAGCTTTCGTATTGAGCAAAATTAATTATTTCTTTTTCAGGACAAAGCAGGCATGGGAAGGGCCTACGGTAACATAGGCAATGCATACTCTGCAGCCGGCTTTTATGAGCAAGCCATAAAATACCATAAACAAGAGCTCACTATTTCCAAAGAGGTTCACGACAGAAGTTCTGAAGCTTCTACACACGGGAACTTGGCTGTGGCTTACCAGGCGTTAGGAGCACATGATATGGCGCTTTTTCACTATAGAGCTCATTTAGGTAAGTTTTTCACCACACCTTTTATATAGTAACTACACTCGGTATTGTGTTTCAACACTACTATCACAATCCAAGAATAAGGCAAAAACTGTATTCTTAATCTAATTAGTATTAATCAAATATTGTTCACATTCCAGGCATAGCTCGTGAGCTAAAAGATGCAGCAGGAGAAGCATGCGCTCTTCTCAACCTTGGGAACTGCCTCTCCTCTCGCGGAGAGTTCGCTCAAGCCGTGCCTTATTACGAACAACATCTAATGCTTTCCCAGGAGTTAGGAGATGTCACTGCTGAAGCTAAAGCTTGCCACTTTCTTGGATACGCCCACTATTGCCTTGGAAATTATAGGGAGGCTGTCAGGTGAGAAAAACAAAAGCTCAAGTCAATCCATGATTGCATTTTTAGGGACATTTATCAAGTTCGTTACCTATATAAGAATATCCCTACATTTTGAACGTGCTTTTAAATAATTAATTTCACTAATTACAGATACTATGATCAAGACTTGTCCCTGGCCAAAGATTTACAAGACAAAATGAATATGGGACGAGCGTACTGCAACCTTGGACTTGCCCACTTAGCTCTGGGTAATCTGGAGACTGCCTTAGAGTGCCAAAAGTATTTCCTGGCGATAGCACACATGACACAGCACTTACAAGGAAAGTTCAGAGCCTTAGGCAATATTGGAGATGTTCTAATAAAAATGGGAGATGTTGAAGAAGCTGTGAAGATGTATCAAAGGCAACTTGGTTTTGCCAGACAAGTAAGTACTATTTTTAATAATTTCGCCGATAAGCTGAATAATCACCTCATTGGAAGCAATTCACACGGCCCAATAACCCACCAGTAACACCAAAGGAGTTACAACTGCATTGTTAGCCATTGAGGATTTAGGGATTTGGGGACGGGGAGGACAGCCCCACGAATACTTCTGCTTAACTCTTATTTATTTATATAATTATTATTATTAAGATGAGGTAGGCTCACAGCTTATCTATACAAACTCTTACTCTAGGATAATTAATTAGAAGTGTCCTTAATTATCACCTCTCTTTTTTCCGTTTCAGGCCCGTGATCGATCATTAGAAGCAGCCGCATGTGGGGCGCTAGGCCTTGCAAGAAGACTTCAAAGAAGATTAGATGCCGCGTTAGGACACCATACTCAAGTAAGTCTTTGTTCTGGAATTTTATTATTGTAATCTGTTTAATGTTCTTCAAATGTTCAGATATTTTCAATTTGACTATTCTTCCAGGAACTAACACTTCGACAAGAGGCAGGAGATGCAGCAGGTGAAGCGAGAGCTCATTCACATCTTGGAGCTGTGCACATGGCTTTGGGACACTATTCGCACGCAGCCAGGTGTTACAGGGTAAGTACTTTGGCATGATTGTCATGCAAATCTGTAATGGTTTTTTAGGACCTTGATTTTTTTGATCAAAGTTTCTTAATGACGGCATAATCTGACAATACGTTCTCATATGACTATTTCATATTTTAGGAACAATTGGAAAGAGCCCAAGAACTTCAAGACTGTGCGCTAGAAGCCCAAGCGTATGGTAATTTGGGTATCGCCAAGCTTAACATGGGACATTATGAAGACGCCATCGGATACTTAGAGCAGGTCAGTTGCATTTTTTATTTTCGTTACAAAATTTTCGTTACTCTTCATCGAGTTAACATACTTCTTTCTTCCCTTTTCAGCAACTTGCAATTCTGGAACGCGTAAACACTCCAACGTGTCAGTTGGACAAGGCCAGAGCATTAGGATCTCTAGGAGACTGCTATGATGCTCTCGGTGACCCTGACGAAGCCGCCAAGTACCATGAGCAACATCTTGCAGCTGCCCTCAAACTTGATAACAAACGGGAGCAGGAAAGGGCTTACCGTGGATTAGGACTTAGTCACAAGTAAGTATTGGAAAAAACTATGTTTATTTTGTGATAAAGTTATCACATGTGACTAGATGTGAAAAACATGTCACATCTATGTTTCCCTTAAAACTTATGAAAACATGTATTATATAGAAAATCCAACAATCTGCTTCTTTCGAGTATTTTTGTTCGTTCACACTTTAGCACTTGGATCTTTGAAAGATTACCTTTCACCTTATAAATACCAAATTTTGCTGAATATATAAAAGAATAATAATAAAGAAAGGCATCTTTAAATGGCATTTTTTTAAATATGTATTTGCATGTCCATTTCCAGATCAGTCGGCAACTTGCAGCAAGCACTGGTATGCTTAGAAAAGCGTCTGGTGGTATCTCATGAACTTGGTGTACCAGAAGCAAAGGCTCAAGCTTACGGAGAGCTGGGAGCTCTACATATAGCACTCAATAACTTGGAACAAGCTGTATTGTGTCTTGATCACCAGAAGAATATTGCCAAGTAAGTGTTCCTAGGTTCAGTTACTATTTGTCAAGGAATGCATGTAAATGAGGTTAGGCTATTTTTCGCTCTGTCAACAAGCATTAAAAGTCATACATTTAGTTTTTACTTTTCAAAAGGTATTTTATGCTTTGCTTTATGCTACTCGACGCTTTAAAACAATAGTACGACATTTTACTCCTCACTGATTCATTTAAAAGGAATATGACTATCTATGCAATACTTTGACAAAGGCAATATCGTTTTTTATTATTTTCTCTTTTTAATATTCTGAATATCTGTCTCCAGGGAACTGAACAACCAGATAATGGAAGCAGAGGCATGCCATTCCCTAGGCGTGGCTCAACATGCATTGGGCGATCACGCGGCAGCTGTCAGACACCATCGTGCTGAGCTCGAGTTGGCACATAGACTGGGTCTTACACATCTACAGGTGGGCACAAATAACTAAGATCTTACAATTTTAAAAAGCTGTCGAAAAACACTTAATTACTACAATCGTCAAACATTTTAGGAGGATCAAACAAATTTCTTGGCGGATTTAAATTTAATTTTTTTTTAAACGTGTTCTAAAAGTAACGTTTCTATTGATAGAGAAAACAGTATGATCTCTGTCTTCCATGGCGATTTACCTTATTTTACATTAACACTTCCTCCAGGCCCGAGCATGTGGTGGGTTGGGAGCTGCGCACGCGTCGATGGGTGCTCATGCAGAAGCCGCCAGATGGCACGAATCACGATTAAGACACGCTACCGCAGCAGGTCAGTATTTTCTAGACTACATTAATAACAATTTATTACATTTCTAATGGTAAAGGACATAAATAAATGCCACTTTTTTGGTACAGGAGATACAAGAGGACGTGCGCAAGCGCTGGCTGACTTAGGCAGAGCTCACCTTGCTATGGGAGCTTGTGGCAGCGCAGTGTCATACTTAAGGCAGGCTCTAGCGGCCACTGAGGGACTTGCTGATGCTGATGAAGAGGTAAACTATTGTGCTTTTAATAAATATAGTCCGGTCAATTTAGACATTCGAAGTTAGATAAAGTCCCAACAAGCTGAATTTCTGTGAAATTGTTCAAAACATATTTATAAACAATGTCTAAAAGTTCCCCATCATTCCCCTGTAAGGAAAAAAATTTATTCTAGGTCAAAGGTCAGAAAAATTAGTTTTTCTCGTATTGCAGCAAAACGGTAAGTTTTATAATAACAACAAACAAACCTCCGACAAAAATTGTAGTTCATAAAATTATCTATAAAAAATGTATCAACACTTTTTTCTTACGACCCACCGTTTCTGAGATATAACGATTCAAAAAGTTATAAAAGTTGTTATTGTCATAATATGCACACCTTTCCACGCCACCTATGAGGTAGAGTACTTAGCACGTTTTTTTAGCGTGGTTTCCTCAGTAGGCCTACCCTCACTGCCACCCCTAACTTCACCCTCATTTTTTGGTCTAAATTGACCGGACTAATAGTTGAGATTAGGTTAATTAATTGGACTTGTCTAAATAATTTGTACTATGGATACTTTTTTAGTAGAAGAATTATTTGTTTTGTATCGAAATAATAAGTAGATACCAACGACCGGTTCTTAACAGAGTGCTTGGTGCAAGTTTTCTAAAAGCGAGTGAAAACTTACCAGAAGTTTAACTCTTTAATTGGTTGTTAACATCGACTGAGCCAATGACAGCGCCGAACGTCATAAGCGTGCCAATCACATTAATGTAAAGCAAAATTGCACTAGACCTTCTATATTGGATATTAAAATATACGAAACTTTATGGTACAGTGAAATCTTAACTCTTCATTCTTCTAGGCCCGGGTACGTCACCGGTTAGGCTTCGCACTATGGGCATCAGGAGAGTTAGAGGAAGCCAAGGAGCAATTGCAAGCGGCCCTGGCATTGTTAGACGCGGCTGAACGACGCCATCTTCGTTTGGCTGCAGCCCATGCCGCCACGCTACATGCCCTGCAAAGAGTGCTCGTCGGTAAGATAAATTGAATGCTGATGTTAATTTTACCTCGTTTCTTTGGACAAAATAATTTTTGCTTTAATTTTTAAGCCTTTTAATACAATGATATGTTGTAAAGAAACGTACAACCTCACATCATCTTCGAAAGCATGTGCAATGTGGCGAATACTGCTGATTCTATTATCAAATGCTTTTTAATTGCCATTGTCATCATTTGAACGGAGATTTATTCTGTTCTGACTGGGTTAGTACAATTTTCTTATCGCTAAGCCAGTATCTAAAAGAAAATGCGTTTTCTAGAACTGGGTCGCCACCCCGAAGCTTTAGTCGTGGCTGAGAGAGGACGATGCCGAGCATTGGACACCGTGGCTGAGAAACCGTCCGGAACTCTTAACCAAGCCAATCTCGAACTCCATGCACAACAAAGGTTTGTTTCATAATATTTAATCTGTCAAATAACAACAGAAAAATTGCATCCTTTTAAGTGTTAAACAAAGTTGAAAAGATAATAATGCTAATTATCTTCTTTCCGCTTAGAAACGCGGAAGAATCTGGTAAGGAACGCTCGGAGCCCTGGAGCCCTACTACCGTGGAGCAAGTGCTAGAAGTTGTAAACAAGCAGAAAGCACCTGTGCTATACTACAGTCTCGCAGCTGGCAGACTGTATGCTTGGCTACTACAACCGCATAAAGGTAATATCTTCATTAATTAATAATACCAAGCTTATATTACAAGTTATAAACCTCACTCAAGTTAGTTTTTGTGAAATTAACACTTCGAGATGATAGTATTAATAATAACATTCATGTGACTTTAAATGTATTCTCATCCCCAGGTATACTTAGATTCCACCAAGTGTCTCTACTAGAGGAGGCAGAAGATAATGATAACAGTCTCCCAGACATCAGTCCAGATGATCTTCAACCTAACAATGGTAAGTTCATTTTCAATACTCTAACCCTTTTTAAGACTAAACTACAAAAATAACCCTTATTACAAGTGAAATAAAATTATGGTCTTTATAAAAATCTTTTTCTACAGTGAGTGGTCTTGGCAAATTGGAGCAATACATCAGCGAATGGTCTGCTTGGCTAAAAGCGAATGCCGAGCGTCGTGCTGAAGCTGAAGACCAATGGGATCCTGATGATAGACCGAATACAGGTCTAGCGAGAATGGTGACACGCAACCATTTGCTGAACTCATCCAATTACTCCCTAAGTTCGCTGTTCAGCGTCGGCTCTGTTGGAGGATCTGTCGCGGGATCCGTGGCCAGCTTGCAAGGATCTACAAGGTAGAGCATTCATTTGATTTATATGAATCTTAGTAGGTAACTGTGATGTGTGATGTGAAATGTGACCCTTTCATAGCGTTTGATTGACCATATTTTAAATTGCCGGTCGTTAAATGATTCTGATTAAGTTCTTTGCAAGTTTTTCTAACTCATACTGTAATATTCTTGCGATCAGGTCAAGTGTCCACGTTCCTCGTAAGAAGCAACCTTCCTGGCAGGGTCCTCCGTGCCTCAGCGCTTTGTATCAGATGCTATTGGCACCGTTCGAAGATCTTCTGCCTGCTTCTTGCAACAATAATCACGGTAAGTTAGCGCTCCATTCAAGTAGTACAAGCAATTTAATAGATTTTTCAATAAATTCAATTTAATAGGATTCAAAAAAGACCTTTCTTAATTATCATGTTTCATTTCATAGCTTCCCACGGCCGACGTGGTTGCGGCGGTCGCAGAGAACTAATTGTGGTGGTAGAGGGCGCTTTATACGCCTGTCCGTGGGGAGCACTACGCAGTGCTCCCACCCCTGGAACTCCCGGCCTCAGCGTGGCTGCTGATGGGGAGCCATTGTGTGAACGATACGCACTACTGGCCGCCCCTGCATTACGCCCGCTGAGACATCATCGGCACATGAGAGCTAAACCACATCATGATCATGGTGAGTCAATCAATAATTCCAGAAAAAAATCTGTTAGAAATGATATTATTACCTCTATTCCAGTTCCACTTAAAATGATAAGTTATAGTTCAATTAAGTTACTGGCTGACTTACGGACTTAAGGTCTGACTTGTCTATGATTTTGGTTTAGGTAAAACTATAAAACATGATTAACACAATACAAAATATTTTTAATATCAGCAGGTGCGAGTGCAGGCGCAGGCAGTGCCCAAGAAGCAGGAATGCGATGCTTGGTAGTGGGCGCTCCACGAGTGGGGGCCGCGCGCTGGGCCTCGCAGCATGCACAGCTCAAGGAGGCGGAGCTAGTCGCAGATATGTTGCGCGTCACACCGCTTACTGATTACCAGGTAAAATCTTCAATTGGCTAGGACAAAATATCATACAAAAATATAGCCAGGTTACAAAGAAACCTAAATAAAAGCAACGATTAAAAGACAAATTCAACAAAATATTAAGTCAAATATAAGTTTCAGAACCTATAACGATTTTTTGTCCACAGGCATCGAAAGAAGCTGTCCTGTCGCAGCTGGCGCAGGCAGAATGCATTCACTTCGCCACACATATCTGTTGGAAAACACCTGCCATTGTTCTCAGCCCTGGTGAAGTGGTCAGTAAACTTCTTTTTAGTACCCATCATCTCTAAATTGTGCGTTGGCCCCAATATTACACCTTGAGGAACATCCTCATAAAAAATAAAAATATAATTGATTACAGGTTGACTCTCAAGCCAAGCGTTTATTGAATACAAGTGTTGGCAGTGGAGCTGCTGATACATCCACCGAAAATGAAGAAGAAAGTACGTATCGCACTCTTTTCATAAAAACTATCCAATATTGTTAGAGATACCTAAGTCCATGCTGATTCTCATCACACAATTTTTACTACAGATCCTGAGCTGCCCCAAAGTAATGAAGAGCTGCCACCGGCATCGGAGTTCATGCTGACTGCATCAGAAATTATGAATTTGAAAATCACCGCTAGATTGGTATGCTTAATCATTTTTATTATTTTTTTTTTCCTTGGATCACCTATAAGAACTATTTGACGGACTAAGCCAGCCAGTAAACAAAATAATATCTACTCTCTTTGCGCAGGTGGTGATATCATGCGCGCCATCCAGTGCCGCGCTCCAAGGTCCAAGTTCAGAGAACGGCGACGTACGTCTGGCCGGTGATGGCGTATCCCGGCTGTGTCGCGCGCTACTAGCCGCTGGAGCTCACGCCGTACTACTGGCATTATGGCCCGCGCCGCAAGATACCGCCACTAAGATACTGTATAGGGCGCTCTATTCCGCACTACTACAGGGTAGTAGGGTCGCAAAGTAAGTAGTTACATTCATTATTTAGTTTTTAATATACATATTTACTTCTTTGAAACAGCCCCTTTAAATCCCACGTAAGAAATTTTAAGATAAGATATTAAGAGATCAAAATACATTCTACATAACAAAATAACGTATACTTATTATAAGAAACGCCGCTAACGAAACGCTGCTACTAAATTATTCCAACTTACCCTTATTTATCACCTTAACAGATTTTTTGCCAAAGCAATGGTAACTAAGTTCATTTGAAGCTATTTGTAGTGATGCTTAAAATGATCATGACAATGCCCTCCAAATTTATGGTAAAACGAAAACACTTTCTTTACCCAGGGCACTAGGCGATGCGATGCAGACAGTCCGTCACACGAAGCACTTCGCGCACCCAGCGCACTGGGCCGGCCTCGTGCTGGTGGGAGCCAACGTGCGCCTCAGCAACAAGGTGGCGCTCATGGGGCAGGCGCTCTGTGAGCTACTCGCCGCGCCTGACAAGTGCCGGTAAGATAAACATTTGAAAATATGCTATTAGTATAATAATCTTATTAAACACTCTTGAAGATAAAGTCACAGTTTCTTCGATAACTTTGAAAACACTTAAAGTATAGAATAATTTAAGTGATTGCTTTGTACAGGGACGCACTACGAGTATGTCTGCACCTGGTCGAAAAATCCCTTCAGAGAATTGTGAGAGGACAGAAGAACGCCATGTACACCACCCAGAAGAGTATCGAGAACAAAGCTGGTAGCATCAACGGATGGAGGGAACTGCTTATGAGCGTTGGATTTAGGTTAGATCCTTTAAAAAACTTGAAACCTTAGCGGGAGAAAATAATATTCTCAATAGCTTAACTTAAATCTTTAATGTAATGGTTTTTTTTAATCTTAGGTTTGAACCAGCAGCAAATGGAATTCCGTCAAGTGTATTCTTCCCTCAAAGTGACCCTGAAGAAAGACTGACTCAGTGCTCAGCTAGTTTACAAGCTCTATTAGGTAAGTTTTAAACGATTTTAATGGACTGTATGAGAAACTCCTTGCATCCTATTTTCATGTTTAAAGAACAAATATGTGAGTAGAGCAATTTGGATTGCTAAGGATCTCAAAACCTAGGTTGTAGCTGTTTAAACTATTATTAATCTTATTTAATTCCAAACAGGTCTGACTTCAACGACACTTCAAGCGCTGTCGAAGCTGATTTCTAACGGCGATGTGGCTGACGATATCATCGGTGTGATCCGCTCCGTCATCTCACAGTTCTCCGTCAAGAACTCAGATACTGACATTATTGAAGTCGCTGTTAATGTCAGGTTTGTATTTTAGGATTAACAGGAATATTATTATTGGGAAAAAATAAACGTAACAAATAAATCACCATTTAACCACGCAACAACACTTGTAGTTCCATCATATAATGAGTTGGTATACATCAAATGTGCGTTTTTCGCTAAACTTTTTGCATCGCACTGCGGAATGGATGGTACTGTAAACTAGATCGTCTAATGAGTTCGGCACGCGTGACTCTTCTGCTGTCGCGGATGTCTATGGGCAGCGTTAATCACTTGCCATCAGACAGCAAATAGCTTCACTAAGAGGACTGATCGACAGACTAACAATATATCTTCAAAATTTTGTTTGACTTTCAAAAGTGCCTGTAAGGGTCTAATTGGAATAAATGATTTTTGACTTTTTGACTTTTTGGTGTTTTGCCGAAGCGAATTTTATGGAATGGGAGATAAATAATGTTAATAGCTTTTAACCGAGTAAATACTCTTATCAGAGGTATTACTTCTAACTGGTATACGATGGATAAATATGACTGAATCTACAAAAATAAGCGGTAGTTCAGAAGCAAGCGCTATTTTATTTCTAAACACAAATTCGTAATGTAATGTTTTCAATAGTTGTTTGTTTATGTACAAACGAAGTAATGTTTAAACGATAGCAAGTTTTTGTAAGTATCATGAAATATATATATTTCTTTTATCAGGTTATGGCGCGTCAACGGCTGTCACGAGCTTCTAGCATCTCTTGGTTTCGACCTGGCTGAAGTAGGCCAAGACGAAGTGACTTTACGAACTGGCAAGGCAGCTAATCGACGACACATACAATTTGTTCTCCAAGCATTACTGGCATTGTTTGGTAAGTTAACTAAGCTTCCAATTCTAATTTATACTCTCGATCTTTTTAAATAAAATGAAGTAAGTGGGTGTTAATAAGGTCTTTTTTGGTAAACAAACTAATAAATGCCTATTCTTCTACAGACACACAAGAAGCCCCTCGAAGCCTTAGCTTGGAGTCGAGCTCCAGCGTTGAGTCTCTGGCTTCGATTGATGACGGTGACTTGGAACCGCACTCTGATGGTGAACCTCCTCCGAGACAACATCGACGTAAGCACATTAATATATAAAAAAATAGCAGAATTTATCTTTTTGACCTATATGTTACCTAGTCTATATCTTGCAGCAGCCTACGTAAGAGAAAGATTTGAGAATATTTTTTTATGGCATAACATATTAAACATACCTTGCCTTGCCGAAGTAGAAGCTTATTCTACTTTATCATTTTCTTTCACAGAGGAAAGCGTATCATCAGTTCCACCGCCACCATTGCCACTTGGATCATGTGGTGGCGCATTCACAATGTACGTCCGCGGATCCACTTCATCCACTGAAGTTGGCCGAGGAGAGCCTGATGGTAGAACGGCTCCACCACCAGCACCTCCACCACCGAGATACAGAGGAGAGAGTGACGCTGCCTTTACCCCTTCTCCCCCGGCAGCTCCACCTGCGCCGACCTCCGCTCCTCCACGAGACGTGTCGTTAGCACTTGCACACCAAACAAAGATTAGGACTCTTTACACGAGAAGACCACCGTCCGATGACTCCGACTGGGAAAGTTCTGGTCACGACACAGTCTTACGACGAAGACCAGAGCACTCGCATGCAAGATATCTCGATGCATTCTATGACCTCGCTTCAGCACAACCAAGGAGATCAGAAGAAGAGAAGACTGACCAGGCTATAGCTCAACCTTCGACATCCAAACGCACACCACGCCCTAAGATGGGAACAAGCAGCCGTGACTCAATGGCCCAAGTTAGGCACATGAGCGGTGAACTAACTCCAACCATATCCGAGGTATACCACGAAAGGAATATCGGACTTGGCCTAGCTCCCCCGTTAGCAGAACTCCTTCTTGCCGAGGAGTCTAAGACGGAAATGAGAGCAGCCAGTTCCAGTGAGAACTTATTACTGCAGAATCTGGAGAAACTTGGTCTTCTGGGCGATACAAGTGAAAATGAGGAGCGCTGGTGTGGCGCCAACTCTTCTCGACCATGGCTATCAGCGCCGCCGCTAGAAACCGACGTGCAAGGGTCTGACTTGACCACGGCAGAAATCATAGAAAGACAGACAAAGTTCAAGAAAGACGCGGAGCCAAAGAGGAAAGAAGAGAACGCTTATGAGCTGAAACCTAAAGAAGAGACTCCGGGACCGAGTGGTATTGAGAAACGGTCCGTGTCCCCATTTTCTGAGATGTCACGAAGAGACGAGGGTGATGGTCGCAGTATAGCGGACTCTCACTCGTCGTACAAAGCCTTAGTGCTTAGCCCTAGGGCACCTTTCTTGCCTGAAGAAGGGGAAGCATCCATTAGTTCGCCTGCGGAGGGGGGCAAGACTCACCCCCGCCCCCGTCGGCCGCCCGTGCCCCGCACTCGCCCTACCTACACCACGCTAGACTTTCCACCGAATAAATGATTAAAACTTGTACATTTATACAATTTAGGATATTTCTGAAAGTGTTAATTTATTTTAATTGAGAGCTTGTAAGGCTATGATGTGACTAAATATAATATAGTGCTTTAATTCGTCCAACTGTCAATATTACTGCTTATTCTTAGAAAACATATCGTTATTTATAAATATTTAGTTATTTATTACTTTTTAAAATTGTAATACTTGTAAGTGTAATTTTAAATAGAAACTGAATTTGTAAAGCTTAGATAGGTTAGGCGCAACGCTTTAAGTTCTATAACTCATCAATTACTTGCCATTGTTTAAAGATTAGTTTTAGGAATTTTGTAAAAAGTGAACATAAAGAAATAAAAATTATCTTAAAAATTAAATCTCCTGGTTTTTAATCAAACCCAAGTCCATTTTGTGACACAAGACAACAATATTTTCGTTAGTTTTCCGACTTGTGTACTTTATATTAATTAAGAGATTATTATTTTAAAGAGAGATTCATATTAATTCATGCATTGGGCATCAGCCCAAACACTGGATCATTATCAGAACATTTCGTCAAGGTACTCAAATCGAACCGAATCTACAATAACACACTGTGAAATACTTATGTAGGAGTAATATTGGAGGTGACAATAAACCCGCACCCACAGACAAAGGGCGCAGTACTATGAAACTTGGTTAATAGATATTAGTTCGATATCCAGTGTGGTAATTAACAGAGCTAGCACAGAAACTGTCTCACTATGCAAATTAATACATACATAAACACAATGTCTTAATGATGGAATGTCGGTGAACCAACCGCACATTCATTAACGCGGTAACTGCCCAACTGATTCTTACAACCGTTCGTTACGGACTTTTACACTTTAAGAATTTATTTATCGCATAAAAGATATGAAATCATAGCTAAGCATCAAACATTTAATATTATTATACATTAAAATCAAGTTTTACTGTTCGAGGAAGCTCGAGTAATTTCAGGCTACTACCGGAGACCATAACTATGAGATGCACATGCTGCAATATAAGTTGTGATCAAATCAGTATGGGGACATTTATGTTATAGAAGTAACTAAGATATTTAAGTTTAATCCAACAACGCATTTTAACCAGATTATAATCACAGTTCGTGATACAGTCATTATAAAATACCTATTAATTACTTGTTTAGAATGTTATATCAATCTTAGTTAAAGAACTTAGTACCAGATTTTGTTCATTACGGTCACTAAGCCAGTACAATTCCTAATTAGTTGGCACTGAATGTAATTAAAATGTTCAGTGTGAATGATTAAATAATAAATTTCTTGTCTATCAAAAGATACTATGTTTTTGATATAAAGAGCTATACGTATACAATCTGAGACAGTGCAGAAGCACTGCCATAAATGCGAGGCTAGGAAATTTTTTTTTCCAACAAGCATCCTTCAGTATTCTTGTCCTATTTCAAGACGTCGGCAAACGAGCAGACGGATTACTGACTGTAACTAATCGGCGGCGCCCGTGAACACTCGTAATCGCAACGCAGTTACTACAAGCGGGTTGCCGGCTTTATGTGGGTTATTAAGGATTTAAGATTAAAAATTAGAGATTTGAGGATTAAGTACGGGAAGAGGAAGAACTGGTAACCTCACACACACGACGAACACAACACAACGTAAATGTTGCTCCACGCCGGTATTTTGTGAGGCCGCAGTATCACTCCGAGCCCGCCCATTCGTACCGAAACATGGGTCTGCCACACATGGGGTGGTTTTTAGTCAATTATAGGTTTGTCCACACTCCCCATCGCTTTCGCGGCCACTAGGGCTTTCCCTAGGCTGATCGCCTAGACGGATCAGTGGCCACTTGATTTTTTTCTATAAATTCTTTTAATGGGAGGAATACAATGTACAACAGTCAAAGAGTCCAAGTTTTCCTAAAATTGAACATAACGTATTAAAGTTGATTTATTTAGTATTACGATGTAGTTTTGACTGCACGGTTGGCGCCATAGATAGGCTAGTCTAAGTTGCAGTGCAACGTGTCGCAAACTCGATTCCTGCACGAAACATACTCTTTGTGTGATCAACAAATTGTTGTTCGGAGTTAAATTGTGTTTGTCTGAAATTGATTAAAACCTAGTATGTACCGAAAACAGAAAACTTAAACTTTTAAAGATATATGAACTGTAACCACGCGGAAGAAATCGCATAAGTAAGCAGGACAAGTAAGTAAAGTGGGTCAAGATACATCAGGCTGATGAAATACTGCCTTACATCTGTCGTCATCTAAAATATGAGGTCAGGAAAACTACTTTCCATCGAGTATTCTACAAGAACGAGGTACAACGAGAATTTAAAACTTTCCTACTCCTAAGTCTAAACAACTACCATAAATAACACTTAAGAATTCCGATAGCCTATATTTAGGCACCAATTAACATTTAGATATCCTTAGGAACTGGTAGTTTGTGAGTGTAACAACCGGAACCGGAAAATAAAAGAATAGTGCCAACCGCACGCAAATGGAGAAACGAATTCGAAAAAAATCAAGTTACGCGTTCGACCTTGACACGGCCCTGAATGGCGCAAGCGCATTTTATTATGATTACGTATGGGGTACTTTTAATCTTTTAGTTTTTTTCACCGTCATTTAATATTTGGTTCAAGCTGTACCTACGTTCGACTGTGTCCACGCCTGAACAATTTCCAACTTTATGTCACAAGTGATAAGATTTAATACTCGACTACAACCTGTATCAGACCGCTATTTTATGTCCGGCTTCGATATAAACAGATAAGTATATGTTTGAACAATTAAAGAGTTGCTGATTTATTTTTAATTAATAGGCCCGCTATCTCCTCGAGGCGAAATTATAATAAACTCGTTGCTTTACGAGACATCTATCGAGTGGCGTATTCGTAGTTTATTGCATCATACAATCGTATGTAGGAGCTAACCTTCAAACCGAATAAAAACAAATGAAAGTCATCGAATCAGTATGGGTTTGTATTATTAAGTTACTTATTTTATTATATAATATTTTTACTTAAGTATATTAGGTATGTTTTAAGCACATGACATCGATTTGTGCCGTATAGATTATACCTCAGTGACAATAACATTGACGAGAAACTGGAATTTTCTTTTAATTCACAACTTGTAATTAAAAAAATAATATCTAAAAGTGTTTCTTCCTTAAATTGATGTTAAGAATCACGCTTATCTATAACAAAACTCGATTATTTCAAATATTTACTTTGACTAGTAACCTAGCAACAATATTAATTTAATATTTTTATCCGAATGTCCTCAGACAGGTGTTCAATTAAGTGCAGTGAACGCCCACACGGCCACTCGGCCTGCACAATGCTATCTACTGTTTTCATTGACCAAATCAATGCGCACTCGATTAACAAACAAAACCAAATGACTATTTCTTTTGGCAACACAAAGCAAGCTCGTGATCTTAGCAAACCAAGAGACAATGCAATAAGTACCTACTTTATAGAAGGAGAAGCAGTATGTTAGTACAATAGGTACTTAGGTACATAGATACTTGGTACACATAGATATAGAACTCCTTAAATTAGTTCTTTCATACGTCGAACAATAGTCTTTATGTTGGTAATAGTTTTAATTAAATCAAATCTGCAATGTGGGCGCAAATGAGACACGTGTTAACTGGTCGATGGTCTTTAATTAAGTGCTGATAATATAATATCTTATGCTACTTAATAGGGAGAGGTGACACACACACACTACACCTCCCCCGTTTTTTATAAAGAAAAAAAATATCCTAAAATACGTTTTTTTTTTCTTATAAGTACCTAATAAAACCTTATAAACTACTTACTAACTAACTTTACTTTAAATATTCGCACTGTTGACAATTTTCAACTAATGATGATTTTTTAAATTTTTAATTGAATCGGAATTTAAATTACAAAACACCAAAGTACATAGTCTAAAAATATCTTTACCAAATGTATACCTTTTACTTTTTTAATTACCATACAATCATATTCTTATTTCTGTTTATATTTAGGTACACATGTATATAATATTACTTTCATATTTACTTAAACTCTTCGTAGTCGTCGTAAGGTACTACATAATATTACATTTACATATCTATATATCATATACTACTAAGCACATTATACAGGACTCTCTGGTACCTGTTTTTATTTATTTTATTTATAATATTAATTTATCACAATTATACCTTATTTGATATTGTGCTTAGTTTATTCTTTTATTTATTTAGTGTCATTGACCTCCAGTAATTTTAACAGAGAGCGCTCGGCTACACCATTATCAAAATACGGAAATGATCACTAAATTGTACCTTACGATGTGTACCTAATATAATTAATTTGATTTACTTATCCTTCATGAGCCTTCCAACATAAATACAATCTATATGAATTGCTTAGTGGACAAAATTTAACGTTGACCTTAAGTGATCAGCTCTCAGTCATACGCCAAAATTTGTGTACCAAGATATTCCAAACAATCTAAAACCAACCTACATACTTATACAAACAATATAATCTCTCCATAGCCTACATAGTTTCAAATTTCATTCATTTGATTTATTTAGCCAAAGCGAAGTGCAGTTGTTATTGTTAATCGGTGTCAAGTAACATGATTCCAATACAACATGACACTCGGTATGACTTCATAATCTATATTCGGGCATGGGAACATTCCTATCAGATATTGTCCCTTGCACCTGCACAAACTTTATAAGTTTATAAAAATATTAACATTCTGTTGCCAAAATAATATTAGGTATATAACCATAAAACAAAATTGAAATTAAAACATAACGGATATGATTGTCAACAGGCGGCTTATGACTATTCTTAGAAAAAAAAAAGTAAAGTTATGTATGTACTACAAGACTAAAATTAACTTAATTATATAATTATTTCATAAATGTATCCTATTTTCATATTTAAAATTAATAACATAATGTATACTAATTTATAATATCTACGTTCTTAACTTAATTATTGTGTCCACTTTCACTTAATTACTGTAGTGTAAACATAAAACACACACACATACAGCTTTCTGCTTCAGGGTAGCGGAGACATTCTCAGACGCTACCCTGGTTGGCAGCATCTCCGTTGTCCTCCAACGGACACCAACTTGCACCCGGCTGCACACACATCAGACTGCGACATCTCCCGGCAGCCAGCAATATCTGCTCTCTTTTTTTCTATTTCCACCGCACTTTTATACATTTTTATTTTACAAACTTTTTAATAGTCTATTTTTACATTATTTTTATCATCCCAAACTTTGTACTCGTGCGCAGCGCTGCCCGCGTGGCAGCACTGGCAG